GGGGGGGGGGGGTCCAAACCACTTGGTTCCATGATATCTAGACGTGTGTTTGGATCTGTCCAGCTGAGATGGGGCAAACCTCATAAAGGATTCTCAGCCCTGAGCACTTACAGCAGAAAGGGGGCTGGGGGGTGGGTCTTCTCATCCTGTAAAGACATGGGAAGAAGATGACCATCTACAAGCCAAGAAGAGAAGCCCCAGAATGAAACCAACCCTGCTGACACCTTGATCTTGAACTTCCAGCCTCCAGAACTGTGAGGAAATCGATTTCTGTGGTTTCAGGCACCTAGTACGCAGCATGTGTTGTGCCAGCCCCAGCAAACTAATGTACCAGGGTGGCAGCCTTCACTGTCCTGTTGCACACAAGAGGCAGGTACAAAAGGAAGGTGTGCCACTCGACTTCTCAGAGGGGAAACAAAGAAGTTCTCTTAACAACTGCAATTTCCCAAAGCATGTGAAACGAGTTATCTAAATTGGGAAATACATGGCATAGTTTTCTTTGATCTGCAAGAGTGTAAAAAATGCAAGATTGAGAGCACCCCCCACCCAGGTGAGCTGAGCCCCTGCAGCACTGCAGTCCCAGGCTTCTGAGCCAGGGCCTCAAGAGGCCATCTAGCTTCTGTTTTTGCTCTCTTGCCATGTGAAGAAGCCCAATCTAATCTACTGGAGCATGAGAAGGCACATAGCGCAGAGATGAGCCATCCTTTCGTGTGGACCAACCGGGGTGCTGACAGCCAGCACCAAACGCCAGACAGGTGAGTGAGGTCATCTTAGACTATCCAACCCCAGTCAAGATGCCAGATGATTGCCGACCCCAGGTGAGACCAGCAGAACCGCTCAGCTGAGTGCAGCCCAAACTGCTGACCTACAGAATGCAGAGGAAATAAAACGGCTGTTGATTTAAGCTTTTAAATTTTAGGATGATTTGTTATATAGCAATAGATAAATGGTGCACTAAGCTAAAATCATATCTGTTCTTGAGACCATATTTGATGACAGTTTGGGGACTCCCATAGCCACCTGCAAACCCTCCTTGCTGAGCCAGACAAAGTTAGAAGATAAAGAGCGGGATGTGCTTTGGTTAATTGTGCACCTGTTTCCCCCAGGGGCTGGATGACCTCGGGGCCATAACTGGGTCTCCTGCGTTTGCTCATCTGTGTATTATGCTGAGCCAGCGTCTGACAGACAGCAGGTGCTCCACAGACATTTACTCAGTTAGTGAGATGCCATGGGACTTGTTTAGGTTACTAACACCCCCTGCTTCTTAGCTGGTCTCCCTGCACCCAGACTTGCTCCCTCAAATCCATCTTCTTTCCTAGGAAGAAAATTTCCCAAAACACAGATCTATCCCGGTTTGATCCCTGATCAAAATCTTTCACTGGTTCCCCACTGACCTCACAGTTAAGTCCTGTCTCTTTGGAATGAGTTATGAGACCCGGCACACCTCGACCCCTGTCTAATTGTAAAGTCCCATTTTGCATCCCTCTCTTCCATGCCACCTGGGCCCAAGTCACAGGGATTTCTCTCTGTTCCTTTCATGTACCACTCTCTCTGGTGCCTCTGGACCTTTACACATGCTATGCCCTCTAGCCGGAACATTCACTACCACCCAGGCGCCACACGTGGCTAAATCCTACTCACACTTCAGTACATTTGGTTGTCCAGTTCACCTGCATTGAGCCATGACAAGATCTACACTGGTTCCTGGGCAGTGGCTAATGGTTTGGCTGGATGTTCAGGGACTCAGAAAGTACAGAATTGGAGGATTTGTGACAAGGAAGACTTAGGAAGAGGTATTTAGATGGACTTTCAGAAATGGGCACAGGGTATAAAGATATTTCTGACCCAAGTGAAGTCTCACCAGAGGTCACCCATGGCAGAGGAGGCTCTGGGTAACCAGATAGCTGGATGACACACCCTGTGGATGTCAGCCAGTCTCTTCCTGAAGTCCCTCCAGGACTTGCTCAACACGCTCTTGGACAACATGGTGATGGTGGCAAGAATGGACACTACTTATGGGTTAGACTATTAATATGGACTTACCTCACCAAGGCCGATCTGGATAATGCCACTACTGTATGTCCAACCTACCACCAGCAGAGACAACGCTGAATACCCAATAATATATCAATGTTCGGAGGGTTCATCTGGCCACCTGGTGCCAGGTTGATTCCACTGGATCTTTTCCAACATGGAGAGAGCAGTGATTTACCCTCATTAAAAGCCAGAATATAAGTTTCCAGGAATCAATGGGAGGTAATGAGAGTGGCTTACTCACTATTACACCAAAAAAAAAAACAGTATTAGTCTCCTGTGGCTGCCATAACAAATTACTATAAACTCGGTGACTTAAAACAACAGAATTTATTCTCTCACAGTTCTGGAGGCCAGAACTTTATTAGTTTCCCTGGCCCTAAATCAAGGTGTCAGCAGGGCTGCCTCCCTCCAGAGCTCTGGGGGCAGTCTGCACCCCGACTCTCCCAGCCTCTGGTGCTGCTGGTATTCCTTTGCTGTGGCCACATGACTCATCTCTGCTTCTGTCTTCACATTGCCTCCCCCTCTTCTGTGTGTATGAAATCTGCTTTGGTCTCTCTCTTAAAAGGACACTTGCACTTGGATTTAGGGGTTTACTGGTTAATCCAGGATAATCTCCTCATGTCAAGATCATGAACTTAATCACATCTGCAAAGATCTTTTTCCCATACAAGGTAACATTTTACAAATTCCAGAGATTAGGACCTGATATCTTTGGGTGGCTATCAGGCTACTGCACCCAACTCACAAAATTTTTGCTTCCTGTCCCCACAATGTTGGGCTCTGCTAGTCTGGAGGCCTTGGTTCTCAAGGGAAGGGAAGCAACACAGTGCTCACTGAACTGGAAGTTGAAACTTCTCACTGGCCGTTTTGGGCTCCTCATGCCACTGAACCAACATGTAAAGGAAGATTTAATGTACTGGCTGCCTTACGGGACTTTGTTAGCAGAACCGGGGTTTTGCTACATGAGAAGGGTGAAGAGGACCCTGTCTACAACCCAGGGGATTCCCTACGGTCCCTCTTAGCGCTTCCATGTGCAGTAGTAGAAGTTAACAAAAAGCTATGCCCCCCCCAAACCATGCAGGCCCATTGAGGATTCAGACCCTTCAGGAATGACTATTTGGGTCCCTCAACAAAGTAAAGAACCCTAACCAGCTGAGGCCTGGCTTAGGGCAAAGGGAACATAGAAGGGCAGTAGAAGAAAAAGTATATATATGACCGAGAGATATAAAGTATAGATCAACTATGGCACTGTGACGAGTTACCAGAAGGTCTATTACAGCTATGCATGTTTTCTTCCTTGTTTGGGGTGTGTGAGAGTGTGTGTGTGTGTGTGTGTGTGTGTGTGCGCGCGCGCTATATATTAAGTAATTTATTTTTTCCTTCCTCCTCCTTTCCCCCTATTATTTTATATAGATTGCAATTGAATCCCAAATGTGGATTCAACAACTGACTCCTGGAGATGGATACATCTATTGGATGGCGGGACTTTGTGTTTTCCCCATTTGGGGGAAGAGGGCTAGAGTGTCTTCATTTGCATGCAAGATAGTTTCATCTTATTAGGTGAAAGCTACTGCTGCTATATGCAGTTTTAAGTATGTGTGGATTGATGTGTTTGGATACTGAGTGGTCCAAAGAGGTGGACTGTGGCAGTTATTAAGCTATTATCTTTTAGTTCCAAATGCAGCCTTCTGTACTCTGCTTTGTGATACTGGGGCTGGGGCTCTTCAACCCATATTACCCCTTTGTTAGCTGCCTTTGGCAATAAGGGAAAGACTGGAAAGCAGGAGGAGCGGAGACCTTTTTCCTTTGCTTACCAATNTCCTTTGTTAGCTGCCTTTGGCAATAAGGGGCAAAGACTGGAAAGCAGGAGGAGCGGAGACCTTTTTCCTTTGCTTACCAATCTTACCAGGAACAGTTGATTGCAGCCTTCAGCATTTTTCTACACTCCCAAACTTCACTGTATCCCCTAAAAGGTACTTCACCAACCATACAGCAACCCCCGTTAGGCCTCTGAGCCTAGAACTATACGGCTCCCCCATCAAGCTTGTGGGTTCTGCTAACCCCCACCTCTTCTCTGTGTTCCTGCTTTAGGAGCAGTAGCTGCTTACTGCAGTGACTTTTCTCCAGGTTATCTCAGTGTTCTCTTGTGTTCTTTCAGCCCACCTATATCAGTGTAACCCATTCCCTAGAGTCACTTATCTCTGTTGAAAAACCTAGTACAGTTTCTGTTTCCTGACTGGTGCCCAACTGATGCAAACTTAGGAAAGTGGCACCGCTTTTCACTGGGGAATTGAGCCAAAAGAAAGTAAGTTTGGAAGTGCAGGGGGGTCATCATGAAAGGTCAGCTTGCCTGAGAGGAAGGCTGAGACAGAAGATGGATTGCTGACGCATTTTATTACCTGGATCTAGCTGTGCTTGGAGCCAGATCTAGGCCCTGGAATTTTTTGTTATCTGGGCCAATAAGTTTCTTTTTTTGCTTAAGCCATAATGGATTGAGTTTTGTTGTTACAATCAAGAGTCCTGACTAATCCGAATCACCTCATCCCACCCCCAGACCAGGTGCCCCACACCACAGCCACCAAACAGCCAAGGCCAACCACCTCCTACAGAAAACTTTAATGAAACCAATAAGTTAATAAGTTAACAAAGTGAGGTACTTGCATATCTGAGAACCAGTTTGGTGGGGAACCTTGATTGTGGAAGGAGCGAGGGCTTCTTCCCCAGTCTCCTTTGGTCATAGGGTAATCCCATTCTCCTGCCCCTCTCCACAGCTCTGTCTCTGAGGGGCCAAGGGGTGGCTCTCTGGGGACAGTGCAGTGCAGGTGAGGTAAGCCAGGATAGGCTTCATCCAGGGCATGATGGTGACATGCAGAGGGCATGTTGGGCAGAGGCTGGGCACCATGGGGCTGAGCAAGATCCAACCCCAGCCCTGGCGCTGGTGCATGCAGGTCCCCAGTCATGAGATGCAGGCAGCTGGGCATGAACCCCCTTTTAACTGGTACCCCACTACCTATCACTCTCCTGCCACCTCCAATAGCTTTGCAGAAGAGGGACAAAGGTGTAGGGATACTAAAGAGGTGCTGGGGGCCTGGAGTGGATGGGGGCTTATGCCAATATAGGACTGCCAATTAAAGTGAAAAGGGGTATGGAAAGAGAGGAAACAGTGCGTGTGAGTGCCAGATGCACAGTTGGTGCCTGAACAATGGTAGTTGCTGGGTGCATTATTTTTCTCTCTGGGAGTTATAGTGATGCCTAGATAAAAGCGGGCTTGGTATCCACCTAGAGAAGGGCCTGGGGTCTTTCCAATGCCCTCCAGGCCCCAGAGGCCTAGGCCTAAGTTGTGCTGTGGGGACATCAAGGAGGGCCCTTGGGGACACACAGAGGCAGCAGTTAGGGCTCCTGGACCAGTGAGGAGTAGATCTTCTTGAGAAAATGGAGCTAGTAAAGCTCTGGGGTGGGGCCTGGAGAGACCGGCAGTCACTTCAGAGCTCCCTCTCCTACTTGGATGGAGTGGGGGGCACCACTTAGTGGACATCATCCTGCAAGGCCAGTCCACTGGCATCAGCTGCAGAGGCCCCAGAAAGGCTAAGTGGCTCTGTGCTCATATCTCCATGTGTGTTTAATTGTGTATGTCAGTGTGACTGTGAGAGACTTTCTGCATGTCTGGGGAAACTAAAGGGACATGTTTGTGTGACATGGGAGCATTATGGGAGATTTGGGGGAGAACACAGAAACATGTGCTGTCAAATATGAATGAATGGAGGGCCAAAAAGGGGCATGGACATCTGGCAGGAAGAGGGAGCTCCTGGGAGGGGACACTGAAAAAGAGAAGAAAGGCCCAGGCACTGCTCTTGGAGGAGGCAAGGGAGAAACAGGTCCCATGCTGGGTGGGGGGAGGGGGGGTGATAAGCCAAAGAGTGTAAATGGGGACCATGGCCAAGCAGCCTGAGACCAGCTACTGCTGGGGGCCCATCTCCTGATGAGGGATGGGCAGAGGGACCCCATGGGGGTCCCCAAAGTTGCATATTTAACATAGTTTGCATATATGGTGCCCACCTGCCTAATGGCAGGGTCCTGTGCTTGTGGGTACCTGTGAGGGCACCTTGGGCCCACCCCCAAGGGGGCGGGGACTTGGCGGGAGGGCTTCCCTGCTCTGTCCAAAGGGCGGGCCAAGAGACCTCACCTTGCATAGCTGGAAGCTGGTTCATAACTCAGAGCCCCAGCGACCTGCTCTCACTCCTGGGACAGTGCCCCTGCCAGGCGGGCCGGGTGGGGCCTTGATGGAACGGGCAGGGCACTGGGGGCCCAGAGGTCGCGGGGCAGTGCTGCTGCTGCCCTCTATGCGGCCTGGCATCTCACACTCCTGAGGTGGGGCGGGTCGCTGGCACCCACAGCGGGTATCTCGCCCACCCAGGCAGCTCAATACTGCACGTGGCCTCCCTCCCCGCGAGGGAGCGAGTTCAAGTAAGAGAAGAGTCCGAGGCCTCCGGGGGCGGGTCCGAGCGCCAGGCCGAGGGGCTGGCCGAGTGCAGTCCCGACGCTGAGAAGCCCCTCAGTCCATGTTGGTGCTGACCGAGCGGGAGATGCTGAGCGTCTGTGCGGAGACGGAGATGTCCTCGTGGTCCACAGGGCTGTGGTAGTCCGAGGTGATGTCGGGGTCTAAAAGCGGCACTTGAACGGTGCCCAGGCTGGCCGAGGTGCCCGAGCGCAGGCACCTCGAGTAGAAGCCCAGCAGCAGGTCCAGCTTGTGCTCGATGGACTGCACCTGGGGGCGGGGCGCGGAGGGAGGTGGGTGGGTCTTGGCAGGGAC